GATAATCTAAAGTTTTTTTATTTCAATAATATAGCAACATTATTATTATTAAATAATAGGTGATCCTACAATCAATTGTTGGATCGGTAATTTTCAGGCTAATATATGAATTCATTTATTCTAATTAATTAATTAATTAAGTATTTTATTGGTATTCTCTTCATTAGGACAATTACACAATATGTTATTTGTATATATTTAAACATATCATAAACAACCGGTTTTTAGACATTTCCAGTATGTTGTATCATGGTGAAATGATAAACTTATTCAATACGTCTGACTTCTCGGCATAACAACTATGGGGAGTGGCCTACATAAGTTTATTAAAAATTCATAAAACTAATATTTCCCTGAAAATATATATATTCAGACAATTGCAAACGTAAGGAAATAATAATTCTTTTATGATAAACGCTTCATGATTTATGACTACAATAGATGTTATTCTAGTTACTATGGCAACGTCGTTTTTATCAAATAAGTCTGGTGACTTCACTTATTTAATATAGTATGAAAACGACAATGATGTGAGTATTGGTTAAATGTACTATTGTGGTATGTGTTATTTATGTCGATAGACATAAGTAGTATGTACAATAATCGAAAGTGGAATGCCTGGTATCAGATTGTGGGGAAGACTGAATAGAAAATAATGGGACCAGAGAGTAATTGATATGGAAATCAAGTCTGAGACAGTTGATGAACATTTTACCAAATAACTCTGTAATTTTATATTTAAATACAATTGGTTGTCCCCCACCAGTGTGCTCGTCGACTACATTATGATAATTATGTAATAATAATACTTATTACAATATTTGGATAGTGTAATTGAAAGACGACGATTATTATTAGCTCAATACATTTTGAACAGTCTGACCACATATAATGTACTGTTTAAAAACATTTATATATAAAAATAAAAGATCAACCAGACTAGAAATGGAGGGTGAGAGTAGACACAGATAATCATTACATTACGGTTTTAACAACTGGATTATAAAGACAAATCTGTTAATCCCAGGTTATTTAAATAGGTGTTCTTTGTGACTTGTTATACCATCATTTTTATTAAGTAAGTTCTGATTATTTCCTTCTTTCTTTTCAAAATCATATGGACTAATTAAATTAAATAGTTGAAAGAAGTTAGAATGAAGATTTGAATGTAGGCTATGTGAAACTTGATCAGTCGGATAAAGTCCACCAATTAAAATAAAATTAATGCCATGATTTACTAAGGAGAGGCTGGATTGTCTAACTATACTAGTACTATTGATTGTTGCTCTCACTTTGAACACCTTTTAAGGTAATTCCTCTGGACGGAGTACACTCGATTATCATAAAAAACATAGGTCAACATTATACTTTCTTGATTAGTTACAACCAGCACTAGTCTTAAATCTGTAGCTTCTTTCCAACGTTTTACAAACACTATTTATAAAGCAAAGTACATCATGGTAATAAGCATTTTTGCATAAAGTCTAGCATGTATAATACAGACTAAATAGAACAATTAACCCCATGATCTATTCAACATGACATCGGCTACTACCACTATGGTGTGCACCACTACTTATGCGGATATACGTAGTTAGTATGTGGCAGGAATTGGGAGTAGAATGCTTACCAGCAGAGCAGTGAAATAAGAAGAGGAAGGAAAATGAAGGGCAACAACAGGATCTGAAGAATAATGAAGTATGTAAAAAACAACTGAAGGAACATATGTAAATGATGTATTTAATATATTTTTTTCATATTTTACAAATCTACTTTTTGATTGGGCATTAAAATGATACATTGATTTACCGTACTTGAGTTTTCGTTCACTGCACTACATACGCTTTTTACCCCTCATGTAGGAACCAAGCCGCACACCAGCATTCTCTATCCAACTCTGTAACAGACAATCCTTTACAGTTGTTTCCAGTTGCTACTCAGTATTTTGATGTCTGATTTCAATTCCCAACGCAGTGTATTCTTTGTTCTCTCTCTTTTCCGTTTGCCATCAAGATTCCAATTTAGCACTTGCCTCGTGATGTAGTTTGATGATTTCTGTGATATATATCTTATCCACTTCCAACGTCTTTTCATAATTTCCACCTGAACTGGAAGCTGGTTTGTTCTCTTTCATAGTATCCGGTCAACAAATATTGAGTATCTTGTGTAGACAACTGTTTAGAAATACTTGTACCTTCTTGATGATGGTTGTAGAAATTCTCCAAGTTTCAGCTCCGTACGGTAGAACTGTCTTGACATTCGTATTGAAGATTCTCATTTTGATCTTGGTTGACAGTTGTTTTGAGTCCAACATTTTCTTCAACTGTAGAAATTCTGTCGTTGCTTTGCCAATCTTCACCCTCAGATTGTCGCATCAGAACCCTCTTATTACTATACCATTACTACTGAGTAAATAATAAATGTTGATAAAATAATGAATGACGTAAGGTTCTCAAATCATGACTGATTCATTTTAATCAAACATTTAATTTAAATCTCAGATAGATTATCAGTCCCTTAAAGATTATATGTACACCTTGTTGACGATTGCAATCTAGCATGACACCTGGATTCAAGATTTCCTACCGACCACTTCTAATTATGAAACCAATAAAAGTCTTCTAATAATTAATAAAAATAATATCTACATAAATTTACATTTCTTCTGATCATTTGATTGTCTTTTGAAACACGTCTTAGTAAAAATATGTTCGATAGTAATAATAGTAAAATTATTTTGAACTGCAACATTTTAGTACCTTTAAGTGTTTAATGTTGAAAAATCAATAGAAACGTTCAAAACAATTGATTCACTACTATACATGTAAATTATTTCGTTTTATAAGAGGGAGACATTCTGATCGATCGATTGTTTATGGTTAATCTTAATCGAATTATGTACAGTTACAAACGTTGTTTACCAATAGCATGAATATCTCTAAAGTTATTTTTCATCACCCCACATTCAGGTGAAGTCGAAGGTCTTGAGTCCTAGTCTTGAGTACAGGATCGTAGATGCATATTTTTGAGGAGTCTCATACTAGGATGAAATGGCTGCCCAGTACTTTCAGGTTTTCAATAGTGATCTAACAACCAAGAGCCTTCAGTCTCGCAAGCGAACGCTTAATCTACTGGACCACTGAGTTGGCCGGTATCCAATGGTGTTAATGTCTAACCTCATCTAATCATTATTAACTGCAATTCATGTTTTAATAGTATATCAGTTGATGAAATTAACTATTGAAAACTATATGCGAAAACCCAATTCTATATAGATAAAAAGATTATGGATAGAAATGGACTTATCAACTGATTGATTGATTAATGTACAGGATTACTTTAATGTTATACATAGTTCATTTCAATAATAATAAATACATATATAAGGAATAGAAAGGAATTTGTGTTGAATCTATGTTCAATGTAGAGTGACGCTAATTACTAAGATATTGTTGTTATATCCGAACGAGAATAAATAAATGGTAACCACTAGTAATTATTTATAGACTAATATGATAAAAATATTCTTATTGTACAACTATTACGTAACTATATTATGTGTATATTCATATTCCTTTCATTATAATCTTTTAGTTGACCTATTGGTTACTGTTCCATTATTCACAGTTTCTTACAATCACAGCCACTTTTGGCTTGATCTTGTGCCAATGTTATTTTCTATTTTATGGGTGATGTGGTATGATTAGTTTGTATATAAACTCAATATGTTTGAAATATATTATTCGTATTGCGGAGACAGAGATTGTCGTTCTGAACTTAACAGGCAGAGTTAGACAGTAAAAGGAATAATAAGAACTGTAGGCTGCACGTACTGGTGTATGTGTCATTAGTTTGGTCGTATAAGTCAACGTATCTGAATTGGCAATTGTATTTCGCGATAATCGTGTAGCTAAGAACATAACAATTATCTATAACCATTAAAAGAAAGAAACTTGGATGCCTCTGTTATTCTAATCTATACAGTCTAGTATTATTTGAAGAGACTGTAATAACAAAGTTATTAATTAAGTAGGAAAATATATACTTGTAGCATATCAACGATTGAATTTGAAATAAATGCAACATTTTACTTGATAATCGAGTTCAAGCTTTTTCCAGAAAATATAATCAAACATCAAAAGTATCAAATATAAATAGGCAAATGGTTCTCTAGTAAACTAAACACGTCATCCAATCATATTGTCAATGTCGAAAGTAAAAAAAATATGAGATATCTGATGTGCGATGAAATGTGTGTTAAGATAACAGATTGCATGAATGTATGTTAGATTTATTGAAAATTCAAATGCTCATATTTTACAATTATGTATATTTTTTCCCTTCTTAATGACTTACATTCAGTCGGTGTCCAACTACTGTGAAACTATTCGTTCCAAATTAGACAAAAGCTTATATATAATATATAGTTGAGATCATGAGTCAATTGAAGCTAGACCACCTTGGAAAACCAGGAAGCACTGGACGGCCATCTCATCCTATTATGGGACTCCTCAGCAGTGTGCATCCACGATCACGCCTCGCAGGATTTCAACTCAGGGCATATCAGTCTCGCGGCAGGCGCTAAAGCAACTAGACCACTGAACCGGCCGGCATCTAACAGTGTTAATGTCTAACTTTAACTAATCCACGAAATTGAGCGATACATCCACCATTGTCATCAGTGAGTTACTTTTTCACAACTGACCCAGCTGAACTCCACTGATCACTGTTTCTTAATAGAACTCCAGGATATACCTCTTGAAGCCAGTCACTAGTGAGCATATATTGATTAGTATCAGGAGGGGTTTTGTGGAGAATTTTTTTTAGCTTCAATTGACTCATGATCTCAACCGTTGAAATTACTGCGATCTCCATAAAACCCCTTCTGATATATATATAGACTAAATTATTGTCTCATTTAATTAAGCAACGTACCCTATCTTTGAATAATTTGGAAGACTTCAACTTCATATAATAATAAAAAAGTACCAGTTACTTACTACTTTTTAAATTATTAATATTATTTGATTCCAATTGTATTTGGGATTGATGTGATAACAATGGAAAAATACCACCAGGCATTAAGATCAATTGTTTTTGTCCCATATTATGTAATATATTAGTAGTTTCTGGAGCATAAGTAATCCATTCATACGTTTTACCTCTTTCTAATTTTGGTAAACATTGTTCATTATCATTATCAGTATTCATATGAACTGATATATCTCTCATAGATAGATCATGTAAATCTTTTGATTTAATTTGATTCACATAAATTAATTCATTAATTTGAAGATAATTAGACAGATTTCTTAGTTGTGGTTGTTTTAAAATTTTAATTATTTTAACAAATGCATTTAAACCAATATTATGAACATTATCAGTAGTATGTTTTTTTATGAATTCTGATGGTTTATCTAATTGAATAATTTCCGCTTCAAAACGATAAGTATTTTTTGAATTTGATAATGCAATCAATTGTTCACGACTTAAACAAATCCATGTCGCTGATATAGTTGAATGATATGTACTACTTATAATAGTAATAGTAATAATAATATTGATAATACTAATATATGATGATAATGTCAATAATGAATATTGTGAGAATAACATAATATATCCCTGATCTGTCATAATTATTCCATGTAATCACTTTTGTTTAAATGTTTAAACATTATGTTTACATTCTCCTTGTCATGTTAAGCATTGAATTATGAATGAGAATAATACGTTATAATAATAATAATAATAATAACGACAATATTAGTAGTATTTCAGTAATCCAATGAATTTATTGTTTATAATCCACAAATATAATTCCTCAAAATCATTAAAATGAATTTCAATAATGAAAATGAGTAACAAAGCGAGAGAGAGGGAGAGGGAAAAAAACAAGAAAAAAAGTCAGTAACTGTTACTTTATTTTTCTTTAATTTAAATAGTTGCTAAGACGTATGTTTTTCTTCTTAAAAAAAAAGAAAAGAAAAAGTAAATTCTAATATGGAATTATTGGTTAATAGTCTGTAAATATCATAGAACATTAGTTAGTAGAGTAGAATAGTAGTGAATTCATTTATTATAGAAATAAAATTGAACTGATGATATTCAATAATGATTGAGTACATTTGTCAAGAATTCACAATTAAAGTGAGGTGTTCTTTTTTAAAGGTACATTGTTTTTATTACTCAATATTATTTTAATTAGACATATGCAAACATTCAATTATATATAAAGACATACATTTACGTACACATATATATATATATATATATATATATATATATATATATATATATATATACATATACATATACATACTTACACACCGATTGTTGATAGGCAGAAAGATTATTCAGGCTCAATACACCTTAACAATTATTATTATGATTATTATGACTTAGATATTATGATTACAAATATGTGGGTGTATTAAAGCATAACTTAGCTTCCATTGACAAACAATAACATATAAACATATCTGTAAGCGTATACAGATACACAAACTGTTATAGATGAAAACAAATTGATTGTTTAAAAAAGCACACTACTCAAGTAATGTGCTTTTTTTGTTATGTATATGTTCTTTTAATCATTCACCGAAAATTCTATTCTACTATTAAGCTTATTCAAAAATGATAAGAAATTCCAAGAGAATAGTAAACACTAATAGAATTTGGTTAGAATGCTTTCATTTATTATATATGTATCGGTTATTGTTTCCTTTCTCTCGTTTATCACTAGGATTATATATATATATATATATAAGTCACAAGTTGGAATTTCAACAATGAATCAATTTCATTGTATTTCATTCATCATAATGTTCATTCATTTTGACGCATATAAAATCATAATAAAATACGTAAAGATGATTCTGTTCAGACAAATAAATGAAACATAGAAACATGATTAAATAATTTTATTATATATCGGCATAGTTACCATATTACATAGTTGTTATTTTACAACACACTTATTTGCTAAATCTCATTGGTCAGTAAAATGGCTCATAATAATTATGAGTATGTTTATCTATGTGTATGTATGTATGAATGGATGGATGTTTTTCAACAGTGTTTCCATGTCATATTGTGTTTATTTAGGCATATTGAATAAATTCTTAGTTAATTGATTATAACTGTGAATGGAAATTTTAAAGACGTAAACTTTCCATATACATAAATAAAATCACCAAGTGAAAGTTATTCGATTAGAAAAAAAACTTCATTGATTAACAACAATATTCATTAAGAATGACACCCAGTTAGTGAAGAGAAGAAAGCCTAGTTTAAATATAAACTAGTTGAAAACTTTGCTGTATTTAAGATAATAAAAGAGAACTATGTGTATGAAATAACATTCATGTAAGTTCAATAGTTGAGATCATGAGTCAATTGAAGCTAGACCACCATAGAAAACCTGGGAGCACTGGAGAGCCTAGGAGTCCCACAGTAGGATGAAACAGCCGTCCAGTCCTTCCAGATTTTCCATGGTGGTCTAGCTTCAATCGACTCACAATTTCAACTATTAAAATTACTGCAATCTCCACAAAACCCCTTCTGATACTGTGGTGTGTGCTATTTATATTGACATAAGTAGTATATGTTGTCAGTCGTGAACAGAAAGTCTGGTAGCAGAGAGACAAGAGGATAGAACAGTAAAGAATAGAAACAGAATGCAGTTTGTGTGAAAATGCAAGAACAATGAGGTCTGAGTGATTTTGAGACAATTGGTGGACATTTTGCAAGTTAAGTATTTACTTTATGATTGTTAGATTTTATTAACAAGTCCTGTAATTTTGTGTTAAATACATTCGATTGTCCCCATTGGTGTTCTTGTTCACTACAATACTATTCACGTAAGTGTCGATGTATGATATACTTCAAGAAATAAATAAATCATGAATAACGGTTGAATAAAATAAAGTCGGTACACCAGCATTTTATATTATAGTGATAGAGAACACAGACGAGAACAACCGATTATATTTAGCACAAAAAAATTACAGAGTTACTTGTTAAAGCAGAATAACCATGCTGTAATACTTCATTTGTAAAATGTTCAATAATTGTTTCAGACTTCATTGTTCCTGCATTATCATACCAATTGCTTTTTGTTCCTGTTCTTCTCTTATTAATCTTCTCAATCTTCTGCTGCCAGACATTCTATTGCTGACTCGCGTTATATACTACTTATATCAATTTATGTAGCACACATCACAGTATTATTTAAGTTTTCCTTTACATTATTTATAGTCAGGTAAATAAAATTCAGGAGACTTTACCTAGAATTCTTACTTACTTAATATTCGAAATATTTTTAATTAACTATAAATTGAAACCAGAATTATGTGTATAGATATTGTGTTGAATCCCATTCACCTTCTCTTCCATTTACTATAGATCTGATTTATTGCTCCAATATAATGGTTTTCAAAAAATATTTTTACCTCTTCACATTTTCTTAACCTAAAATACTTGATTATAATCTGTATATTTTATACACTGCGATGTTAACCCTTAGGTTCATTACACTGATAAGTTGTAGAAGTCTAACAGTTGAACCTTTCATTATTCATTAAAGAATGAGAGATTCAAAAAACTGATTTCATGCAATCTAATAAAGTTTACTTTTCGTAAATTGCTGTATGTATTTATGTTATTTTATTAGACAAATGGTCTATTATTCTGATTCGTGTTCTTAGCTTTGATTTTAAATCTTATAAGATCTGATGTCAATAACTTAATCTTATGGGCGGCCATCAATAGACCACATTGTATTATTCTATACCAGTGATCGTTTAACATTCTTATTTTTCTAATATTCGAATATTCAGAGATAGGACTCGGTTCTGTGAATTTGTAGAGTATCTGCTTTTCTATTTTTAATATGTGTGTAATATCTAACATTTTACCATTCATTTAGTGAGTGCACTTTGTATGTATGAGCATAATTTTTACTGGAAGATTTCATTTTAAACTATCTTTCACTTTATTTGCCTTCTCTATCCATCAAATCGAGATGCGCTACACTGACGTATTCAAAGAAAAAAATATATAGATAGCTTTAGATGATTAAAATGAAGTCCTCATTGAAAATTACAATCTTATGCGCAGTAACGACACATTAAATGAATGCTAGGAAATGCTAGATAATATATACTTTCATTGAACATTGAGAAGAAGATGGTTATCCTTACATAAAATCTATTCATTTTATCATTGAAATCTCCCTCATATCATACACACACGCTCACAATTATTCTGCTTATTCTATTCAATATTTATTTTTCATATTCAACCAATGATGCCTCCGTAAAACTACTTTCGATTACGATTCACTGTGGTAATATCCTCCTGAGATTTTACGGAACTCAGTTTGAATTAGCTAAAACGATACTTTACTATTGACCTAATATTTAAGATTTTGCATCCGATTACTGAAAAATTAATGTACGTAAATCACTGAACCGGCATCCAATGGTGTTATTGTCTAACTTCAATCAATCTACTATACCGTGAGTTCGAATCCTATGTGCGGGATCGTGGATGCTGCTGCTGAGAAGCCCCATACTAGGATGAAATGATCATGCCTTGAAACTTATATCCAGAAATTACTACCGACTACTTACAGCGGGAAATTGTCTGCATCCACAATATCGTCTAAACTCTGAATAGTGACTAAATATAGTAAAAGAAATTCAGTAGATTAGTAGATGATGATCTAACATTTGAATCGATTCAACTATTTGTTACTTTACAGAAAATAAAGTTTCATTTTATTAGGAATTATCTAATTAACCACCATTATCCCACTAAACCACAACACAAATTTTGATCGTTTTTATAAAGTGTACGATGTTCAACAATATTCATAGAATTATGTAGAAGAGATGAGAATTGACTATTAATAGCACCATAATGCCCCGTTTCGACCTTTTTGAGACAAGTCAGTTATGCACACCAGCACCACACGGTTGATTTTAGTCTGGGACTCGAATCTAGTACCTCACACTACGAATGCTAACACGTTATCCACAGAGCTATTAATTTAAAGTGGCTACTCAATCGTGCAACAAATATGAATTTTCACTCATTTTGCTTTGTTTTAGTTCACACTTAACTGACGAATCTCAAACAGAACAAAAAGCCTTTCCTAGATTCCACTGCTAATAAAAACCCATTTATTCTATATAAACATGTGACATGATGGTTATATCGAGGTAGTTTGTACAGGGTGTACATATGCCAACTAAGACTGATCATTGTCGACTGATGATTTCAATATCAAAATAATCCTAATCATTAAAATTTGAAATAATATTCACATTTTATCAACAAGTATATCTTCCAATTTTATTACCGCAAACACTATTCAATCCAGAAAAGTCTGGTCTATTTGCACTGGCAATACCATCACTATTGACTCAAATAAGCCATATTATAACAATTCACAAGATAAATAAATAATATATTTGTAATATCCCACAAGATAGAAAGGATTATGAGGTTCAGATGTTTGATTTTAGTGATGAAGTGTTCTCTGAACTAGATGGTGCAAATGTAGACCTCTCTTTAACGTTCTGAACAAAATAATCAGTTATCACTCCCAGTAGAACACAGCTGAGTAGTAAGTCCACGGAGTTTGATCAATTCATTCGAAAGGCTTTATTTGTAATCGATTGTTTTCTTAGGCTTTACTGTCTTGGGTTGTTTATGTATTTATATTGATTGTATTTCTCGGTTTTTGTCTGACTCTATAGATAATAGAATTCTTCTAAATGAATTGATATAATAGATTCTTGCTGATGCGCCTATTACTTACCAGTCAAACTGAATATCAAACTTCTAGAAATTCTCCGGGAATCTAAGAGTTTCTCCATTTTAGAAATTCGATCCTTATCCAGTCGAATTCTTGTCTATGTTTGTCCATGTGTATTGATACTGGTGATAACAATTGTCCTTACTGATAATCTTTATGTTGAAATAGGTAGATGAACACGTTGTTTATTTTTTTCAGTGCACTTGTTCGTACTGCTGGATAGGAAACATAATGCCATCATCCAGATAAAGTTAAAGTGACCTACTACCCGTGCAATTTGGGGTCTTATATATATACGTTAAGTAATGATTTTTGTTATATAATCGAGATTCTTTAGTAACTCATGTTCACTAGTTTTTAAAAATTTAGACTTTACAGTTCTGGTATGTTGCCTTATTACAATTATGTCCTATTTCTTATGTAATTAGACTACAATACTATTTTTATCCAAGTAAGATTGTGAATAATTTCTCATATGAATCATTATTGTACTCGTGTTGTAATTCACGATAGTAGAGCTACTACTACTACTACTACTACTACTACTACTACTACTACTACTACTACTACTACTACTACTGATAATAATAATAATAATAATAATTACAATAATGAACAACAGGTTTTCAATATTATCACTTGTGCATGTTTTGCTATATATTTTATGGATATCTAACTTCTTTTTTTACTCACAGCTGTTCATATTCTACAGTTTAATCGTAACCTTAGTAATCAGAAAACTGGGTGTATCTCATAACAGTTCAATAAGTATGGAATCTAGATATAAGCAAGAGAAAGTGTACATTATCGATTTTGATAAATGTTTATGTTTATACATATATTACTTAAAAGGTCTATAGAGAATTTCTTAATTTCCCAGTTAATATCATAGATTGATATAGATTAGAGAGCTATTCAAATATTGGAAGCATTGGACAGTTATAACATCTTAGTATAGGACTCCTCAGTAAAGCATACTCAAAATTCCACAATCCGAAATCAATCCCAGGACATTCAGTCTCCTAAATCATTGTAATTTTGATTAAACATGATTGTATTTTCACCCAATGATAAGCTCTGTCTGTCACAGACCAACTGGCATCTTAAAAGTTGGATAGGGATTATGGGAAACATTCGTAGTTATTATCGATTCATGTTATTTCGTTCAGTTTCCAAATAAATATCTTTGTACTGCATCGCATCACATAGTCGTTTTCACAAGATAGATATTATCAAACAGACGGTAAAATGTTCCAATGTATATCTGTTTGCTGTTTAATAAGAAAAAAAACTGTGGAAAAATCCATATAAATAAAAAGGAGCTAAATGTTAGTAGTTTCACCAATGATTCACCTAATAAATTCTCTCCATGGTTATGTTAAGTGTAGAAATTATGTTTATTTTAAATCAAAATATGCCGAAGAAAAGGGTGAATGGCGTCATATGAAATACGATAATTTGAATTAGATAGGAAAATCACATTTTCGATCTTATGTCTTTAAATAGTAGTGCACTAATTGAGTAATACATTGATGTGTGGAAATGTTTGTATTTGTATTGCACTAGACGTATATTTGTAAATATTTATTGAAAAGATGAATAGCAACAGTTGTACTAATGATAGACAACTGTTTTCTGTCTAGAAAAAGAGACATATATACGAATGAACCATACTCATTACTATTTGTTGAGTGTAGGATCAAGTATTTGATTATCTGATTCTTCAAAGTTATCTGTGATGAACAAAAACACAGATGGGGGACGACCAAATGCAAGTTAATACAAAATTATTTGGTAAAATGTGAAAACAGTATGTCCAATCCTTCATTTACAAAATGCCCGTTTATTGTTCTCTCAGTTTCATACCAATTACTCTCTGGTCCTATTCTATTCTATTCAATCTTCCCAACCATATGCTGCCAGGTTTTTCACTTACGATTGGTGTTACATACTACTTATGTATTTCGACATAAGTAGCATACACCACATATCGATATAGAGTAAATTTCAGGGAGACCTTTTACAGTTAATTACGTTAAAACCAAACGAGTGTTCAGATTATTTCATCAGTTAAACCAATAGTAGATATTAGCCTGTTGATATCGGTTAACTGCCTATACTGTAGTTTATGTACATATTTTTTAATGAAAGCATATTATTATTTGCACTGTTGTGAACATGAACACCAGTGGGGACAATCGAATGTATTTAACACAAAATTACAGGATTGTTAGTAAAATCTAACAATCATAAAGTAAATATCTAATTTGCACAATGTCCACCAATTGTCTCAAAATGACTCAGACTCCATTGTTCTTGCATTTCCATACAAATTGCATTGTGTTTCCATTCTTTACTGTTCGATCCTTTTGTCTCTCTGCTACCAGACATTCTGTTCACGATTAACATTATATACTACTTATGTCAATATGCGTAGCACACACCACAGCACTACACTATTATATTTAAAATGTCAGCTATATGTCAATAAGTACGGTAACCGTAATCACTGTTTGATATCTCAAATTTGACCATTATTAAAAGTATCAAATTAATCATAAATGTGTTTTTGTTATATCCCAATGAGTACAAATAATATTTCTGACGCTAGCGACCTAATGTGAGCCACTTGTTCAGAGTAAAAGAAGTAGCTTACATTAAGCCCCGGAACGTCAAAAATTTAATTGTTCTACTTATTGAGATATAACAAAAATATATTTATTATTAATTCTCCACTCAATGCTCAATTTATTTGAAAGTATCAAGTTCAACCTTGTTAATGATACTTATAAACTCATTATCAAAGTAATCATTTTTAAGAAATTTCAAGTTATGTTTGAAATTGGTTATAAAATCATGAAAAGAAGCTATCTTTTATCAAATGTGACATGTAGATTAGACTCATGTAGGGAATAAAATAGGTATGACCGATGGTGCCAGGCGGACATTCCTTAATTAACTCAATTTAATGATTTTACTACCGTGGATGAAGTAAATAAACTGAATTCCATGCTTATGAGAGTCCTTGGCGAAAACTCATAGTCATAACTAAACATGATTGTTCCTTTTTGAAAGTACGTTACTGTCCACTTTTAGTCGCCCGAGATCTGGCTCCAGGTAGATCGTTTGCTGATTGTTATCAAATATCATCATCGACTTAAATCGCGTTGGTGAATAACGGAATTAAATAAATCAAATACGAGAATGAGATTTCGAATACGTATATTTCGTACAACCGTTGATCAGAATGCGAAGCAAAATAAAGTGATGAGCGATCGAAAAGGAGAGTGAGACAACTCAATATAACTAAGTGTGAATCGATATTTATAGTCAGATCAAACATAAGTTACAGACACATAATGTGTAAGGTAAGTTAATTAGCACACATACAATCATATAAAAGCACTTAGGATTACTAAGCGAATAAATGACAGGATAAAAAATATGGTTTAAGAAGAATGAATAAATTGATTTGTCCAGAGGATAGAATAACCTACGTGGGCTTGACATACTATCAGCTCCTACACACTGATTTGAATTGATTTGTGAATCATTAGCGAGTTCTTCCACTGTTGCTTTGTTTGAATTTGTTTTCAAAGTAACTGTGGTATTATAATACATGGTAAACGTTTTTATACAGTGTTGTAGTGGCATTGGACAATAGCCACACAATCCACAAAGCTGTGAATACGAGACTACTCAGAAAATAGATATTCAATATTTAACGCGGAGAAATACCTAACAATGGAGAAGGCGCGAACAAGGAATTGAATGGACTGGGGTTGATCGAGTGGCATGGCTCGGCCATGCAGGCGTGGTCTCTATTCATATTAAATATATTGTTCTTTCTCTAAACTTAACCTTCTTATACATCATGTATTGGTAATTGATACGATACAGTGAGTTGGCGTAGTCGATGGTGTGACTTCCACGTAAGATCTTATAGATTAGGCAGTTATATCATGACGAATCTACAAATTTAGGATTAGGTCTATTATTAGAGCAGTACTAATATCGTAGTAGACCATAATTCTACATTGGTGAGCCCGACTAGAAAAACGCAACCTATTATTATTAAGCCTTATTTCCACTTCAACTTTCTCGATCGATTTTATATTTATGTTAACCCTGTATTCCAATAGTCCTCTGATTAATGCTCACATGCATTATCGTAATGTTATATTGATTAGTCCTCATGACAAACTAGCTCAATCGATAATAAAAACTGGTCGTCTATATTAACTAATTAGCTTTGATGATTTGTTAACAAGCTGTAATAGCATTTACATGCTTCAGCGACATAGTCTTGTTTAAACATCAAGCTCTAGCAAATATGACCTGTAAATAGCGTAAATATACATTGACTAACAATGCGATCAAGGACTAAATAGTTATCTGGATCTAATTCTCAGTGTTCCTTCACTTAATACCTCATCCTGTTTTAAACGATGCACTATCCTGTAATATCTTTTCTTCCGACCACTGCCTGCCTAATTTCATATTCTCGAGTTCCATTGCCAAACAACGAGGATGACTACAAAAACATACGGTGAGTTCCAGCTATAAGTTTTCTGCAATCATAAGTTCATTTTAGATGGCACACACAATTATCTGGATTTATTCAGTTGTTCTGATCAGAGCGAGTCCCAAAGACCTCAACAGCATCAAGCACCCTGGAAGTGATTGCCATACTGTATGTTTTATTCTGGATGCTTTTGGATCATTACTACTCCTCACGAATGGCGTTATATATGTCGTCCACTGAATAATCTAATTTTCAAAAATAATCAAGGCGAGTTCAACTATTTTACTGGATGATTTTTTTTGTACTTAAGATGTATATGTTTTCCAGTTGCTTTTGCCATATATTTGTAAGTGTCACTAAGCTAAATGCAGTAACTTCTTATGGAAGGTTTATAACGCATCATATTCCTGCCTGAAATTTCACCAGCAGTCTTAACTTTAAAATTATTTATCTGGTCATGTTCATTATTTTTAAATTTTTATATACGTCAACAACCTGCATGTTAACCTGGCCCGTACATATGTTTTACTATATCTTCATATCTTTTGAATTTAGAAACCATCTGAATCGCCTTTAACATTTATCAATAAACCCATCATAGTCGTTGTTGCTAATCGTATTTGGGTTTATGGATTGGTTTATCATATTAGCAGCCTAAAATGCGAACATAGTTTAAATAATAAGATTAAAAATTTAGATACTATCAACTGCACTAGTGAAATAACTAAATCCCCAAGTAGCTGTTGGCTAAACAAACGTTTAAAATCAAAACTCAGTAGCCTACTAGAATGAACACTAAACGAATATTTCGGAATTGAAATTTATAATTAAATTAGGCGTCTAGGATTCTTTAACGTTATAAATTTCTGATGATTTTGAATCACCTAAAGCAACAATACCTATTTTTCCACTGACTAATCCTTAATCAACACTATAACTAGTTAAATTTAATAGTTTCAGGATATCGTCATAAAGCATTGTCATAACTTGACAATCACGTAATATGACTGATAAAATTAATGAAACTAGTAACGAAATCGGTCAACAAATTGACTTATAATTACCATTAAATGGTGTTGTTTTCTTGGTATCTTCATCCATCACAGATGATTACAGTATGTTTCTCTCTCAGTTGCTCATTCAGTAAATAT